ACAATGACACCTTCCCCACCCAACTTAACAATTCTCCTTCAAACATAACTCCATGCATACTTTCTACAAAAAACTTTTCCAATCTGTCACCGTATTTTTAGCAATACGTAATTCCGTTCGTATAAAATCATTCCCGCACTTACCCAACCACATATAGGTAACTCGCAAAACATCACACATGCTCAATTTACTCTTCGCAAACCAGGAGTTCTTTCTTTCGAATTGATCTTGAAATTCGATGCCTACATTCGCCTCCAGTAACTCTGCACATCCACTAAAAAAACCGTCTATATACGGTTTTTTTCGCTCTACTGTTCATATTTTTCCAAAATCGCACTTATACGAATTGCAATCAAACCTTTCCATACACAAATAACAATTTTTTATCTAAAAACTGATAAAGAACAGATTCAAATACATTGGTAGCACCGAATTAACACACCATAATCAAAACATCTTTGCAAAAAACAGACAGACGACAAAGTAGACAGATGTCTTGTTTTGCACCCGCTAAGTCTTTCTGCACCGATGGGCGAAAAATCAAGCATAGGTGCGAGGAAAGGTATAAAGAAAGAGGGGCAATTTCGTATTTGAGGAGAGTAAAAAGGAACTTCGTACATCTTGTACGAGTTCAAAAGGCCAGGAAGAAAAGATGGGACAAAATAAAATTTTAAAAAAAATGGCCCAAAAAAAAAAGAGGGAAAAAAAAAAAAAAAAAAAAAAAAAAAAAAGGGCCTATAGAAAGAAAACGAAAAGAAGTAGAAAATATCCTAAAATACGATTGTGTCCATGAGTGTAGTTAAAAGGAGAAGAAACTGTCTTCATTTACAATAAATAGTGTCTCACAGGTGTGTTTGTGTAGTGAGTGTGTTTGGTAATGGTGAATAGATGTGTTACTGGGGAAAAAACAAATATTGACGGTGTTTAAAATGCTTCGTATCAAGGTATTTAGCATGGAATATAAAGTAATATGTATGCTTGCATCCTGAGATATCAACAAAGGTCGTCAAACAAAAGTATATATTAATTTAACCAAAGTAACTTATGCTACTTTCATTCTCAACATTTTCATACATTTTTCAAAAAGCAGCAGCAGACTAACAACATAGAACCATATACAATACAAGACCACAACCGCATACACCCAAAAAAAATAAATAAATAAATAAAATAAAAAATATATATATATATTTATGTGTGTAAATAACTGAGTATATGTATTAAAAACACAAATTAAACAGTATTTATTAATTTAACTATCATAATTTATTACAAGATTAATTATTCTACTATCATAATTTATTACTAGTTAAATAATGTTAATATAACACAATGAGGCACACTGTTATTTATATAAGCTCATAGTTCTAAAATTCATTTATTAAGGCGGTGAAGAATAAACCATCCCTTACATATGGACATTTAACAGATAGCAAAGAACAGTATGAGAAAAATCGGTGAGGTATAATATTATTTAAAGGCGAAACTATATTCAAGCGATCTAGAAAGAAAAGAGAATCCAGAAGATCCGAGAGGGAAATAGCGCGATGCCCAAATTATCCCTCTCATCCCCAAATTTTCCCTCTCTCGAGATTCCTTAAGGGCTTTGTAAGTGTTGACAGAGGTGAACTGATAATGCTGGCGTCTGTTTCGAGTTGATACACAAAGGAAGCCACAAGCAATGGCAATTTCAAGTATTTTTTAATGCTTTAAACTGATGAAAAATTAAGATTTATTGATTTAAAGGCACTTATTTATAGAAATTTGATTTAGTTTAGATGAAAGAAAAGTACTTATCTTAAAATTCCAGTCTTTTGAAGTATATCCTTACATTGTCCGCTGTTTTATTCTCGTCAACATCGGAGCCGAAATTCATTGGAATGATATAGGTTTTGTAGAGGAAAAATAAAAAATTTTTCAAAGAAATTTAATTGATAATCACCAAGAGGAAAGGAAAAATTTTCACTTTTTTACGGAGCGCAGCGATCGTGCTGCCGCTTGCCTCGGTGATCACACCTCCCGCTTGGAATTCTCTGATTCGGTCGGTAATTTTAAGGCTTCCTAAGTCTATCGTTTTATCTAATACATTTGAGAGAATCTGCGCTAAGCCCAATCCAAACACCAAAGTGTTACATTTAAAAATCTCGCCAACATTAACCTCTATTCAATCAGTAAATATATATAAGTTTTCTTTAAATACGAAGCTATAGCATACTTATAACTTGTTTTGAAGAAGAGGTGTAACCAATATTACGTCATAAAAAGGCGTGTCCAAGCATAAGAGAAGTAAACACAGCATCGACTGATGCAGCCTATTCTGCGATTTAGCCGAACCATCATTTACTTTCAGTTCTGTTGCAAAAGTTCAGCTACAGAATGTCCCCAAATAATGTGTACAGCTTTAGGTGCTAATATTATTATCATATGATATTATGAAGGTTTGTTACCAAAAGTTCAAAAACAAGGACTATGGCATTCAAGCAGAGTGCTTCGGCTTCAGATATGTGCCTGCATTATAAGCTTTATATTCACCTACTTTGGCACAGTTAAATTTTCATTTTCCTGCATTGTTGTCCCTATTTTAAATCTGTTGATATCATAAAATAAGTCACTGAAGGGTCTGGCATAAGTACACTGTAGTTAGAGAGGAGTATAATAAATACTGACCCATAAATTGAGATATCTTGTGTTTTATAAAATAATTCCTAAAATGTTTTGATTGCAGTTATCTAAAAGTATAACAAAATAAACAAATTATTAGTTACTTCAGTATTTGCATTTCAAAAGATGAAAGTAAGTAAATTTAATAAATACAGAATATATACTGAAATGCAAATGTCATATTTAGAGAATATAATGAAATATATTTATATACTAGCAACTTCGCTGCCAGCCTTCGTCTGGCTTTTAAATGTACCGGAAAAATGGCTGAAGGGAACAGCAAACGTTTAATTAAAAAACTGCGTAGAATTTTACTCTGCTGAACAACTTCATAAAAAAAAGTTATTACATATAGCAAAATTACAATGAAATAAGCAATGTCCCTTAATACAAATATTAATTATCCTAATAAATAAATTAACCAACTTCCCTTTGCAAAATCTTAAGAATTCAAATGGTATAAAGGAGGTTAAGAATTTTATTTCCTAAAAAAATCACTCAAAACTTTTCAATATCTTAAAAACAGTGAAATGAGCAATAAATAACATAAAAGAATACAAAAAACAAAAAATTCTGAAAAGCAAAAAAATATATACTGAAATGCAAATGTCATATTTAGAGAATATAATGAAATATATTAATGATATTTTATCTTATATTTTCACAAGAGCAAAAAATTGCAATGAAATAAGCTATATCCCTTAATACAAATATTAATTATCCTAATAAAAAAATTAACCAACTTTCCGTTGAAGAAAAAAGATCATGCAAAACTTTTCAATATCTTACAAACAGTGAAATAGGCAAAAAATAACATGAAAGCAACTCAAAAAACATAAAATTCGCACAGAATTTTACTCTGCAGAACAACTTTATAAAAGAAATCAATAAAAATGTATTATATATATATATATAAATGACAATGAAATATGCCAGTCTCTTAAAAACAGTAACATAAGAAATACGATGAAAAATTGTTGCCAAACCCATATTTCTAAAAGAATGAAACTATTCAAAATGATGCGACTTCATAAAAAAATCTATCAACAACAATAAGACAGAAAAATTGTTGCCAAAATCACATTTTTTTAAAGATGTGAGAAGTGTACTCGGAAGCTTCATTTAAAAAAATTTTTAAAAATACAAAATATTATCATTTTTCCAAAATTCTTTTTGTAAAAGCAGTCACAAGGATGAAAGTTTAACGTGTCCAAAAATCAAAGAAAAATAAGCTATACATTTTTAAAAATAAAGTTTTTTAGAAAAAATCCCGTTGAAAAGATGTTAAGCTCCCTTTGTTAAATAAATTCGTATTTAATCGATTTATTGGAACACGAAATTTATTTTAAGTTCGTAAAATAGCTAAGTGCCTACGTTTTATGACGATGTGAAAATGAAGTGTGTAGAGTAAAATCTCGCTTCCCTATAGCCCATTATGTCTCAAAATGATGAAATTTCATCACAAAACCTAAAATTAAAAAAAAATTCTAATTTGAATTTCGAAAAAATCGTTTCGAGGTGCACTGGCTCTTGTCTAGATGCATGCACCTATGTACCAAATTTCATAGCTATGGGTCTATTAGCTTATGCGCAGCGTGAACGAAAGACGCACACACACATACAGACAGACTCGTTCTTTTATTATATGTAGAGATATGGGGAGAGCGACGGCTTCTTCGGAACTGCATTTGATTGGGAAGAAACATATAATTCAGATCCTGAGAAGCTGTATTGCCACGGACGCGTGCAAAATAAAACTGAAAGCTTCATCTTCAGTAGCATATTTTTAATGCATAAATTCAGTTAAATAAGAAGTAAGATGTTGACTAGCAATTTTGTGGTTATTCTTATTCTACATAACAAGACCTCTAATTTTTTTTCATAATGTATGTGTAATTTTCGATTGTGTCAGATCTATCAAATTATATTATGATTTAAATGCAATATTCAAGTCTAGCAATTCAAAAACTCCTATTACACTCTTTTTAACTGTCAGTAGCGTTACTTCTAATTTTTTGCTGTTTAATTAGTAACATTAAGGCAGTTTCTTTTATATTTACATAATACAAACTTGAAAATATGAAAGAAATTTAGCAGCGATTTGTTGAGTCTCACAATTAACAATAAAAGTGTTCTTTGTGTCAAAATATTTGGTAATATCTTACACTTTCTATGAAAGCAGTTGGTGGACTTACAAATGTTCCACATTTTCTAATTTTGTAAACTTACTAGATGAAAAGTTATAAAATGGTATATAAATTCTTTTAGTTCTAAATTATAGTTGTAAATAAATTTTATATGCATATTTAGTTCACGCATTTTAACTTTGCTTATTTCAGGAAATGGCTATGGTGCTAACTCCAATTTTAAAAAATACTGTGTCAGGTAATTTGAAAGAGATTTCTGGTGGTGCAAGGGTGAAATTCAACCTTCCTGATGACCAGGAAAGTATAATTACCTACCTGAAGGAACCTGGTGATGAATCATATTCTGAGAAATTAAATTCTGTGATTAAAACAATTTCATCACCTAATACAGATGTAAGTTGTTTCTCTTTGTACTATAGTCTTAACATTTCTATATTTATACTGTTTTATGTAAATAGTTAATTTTTCAGCTGTTTTTGATTTTTATTTTTCAAAAATTTGAATGCTTAATATTCATTTAAATGAACTTACATTCTCAGTCTGGTAGTTAAATAATGAGAATAATTATTGGAGAAGTCAAACAACAAAATCAGTGCAATGGCTGTAAATTACACTGATTCTTGTTGTTTAACTGGTGTGCTATTTTAACCTGAATGAGTTTATAAAAAAATAATAACAGGCAAAACCATTACGTATGTTATATTCAAGATATGGCTTTTGTTTCAATATACCGATGGGCATAGCATGACAAAACCTGGGACAACATATGTAGGTCTAAGGCTTACATTCATAGGATTGAAGTATAAATTGACTGTGTAAGACCAACCTGACATAGAATTAACATTCATATAAAAGTGACACTAGTTACCAGTATAAAATTGAAATGAGAAAAAAGAAAATGGGGTAAATGTAAGTAAAAGGGGTACTTCTTGGGCCCCAAGCATATTCAGATATGCGCCAAAATCTCAGTTATAATTTCATCAAGGTTGTAAAGTGCAAATGTTAAAATAAACAACACAATATATAATAATAACAATAATACTAGCATGTTATTTCCTAAAAATATTTTTAAAGAATCCTTGTTATTTTTTTTATCGCATGTAATTGTTCCAGTCAGCTGCAGTACTTTCACACGTATTAAGCTATTTGTTACACGTCAACTCTATCTGCCCAAGAATCCATAAATCTAATAGCAGTGATGGATACATTCTGGAACTGCTGAACCATTTTCCGACATGAAGGCCATTCTTCCTTTTCCAATTTTTAATATTGCACAAGCAATGGTTTCAGCGTTAACATTGTGGCCATTTTCACATACTTGTTTGTCAGGTAAAAGACCTTTTTCATAAAAAAATAAGAGATCTGTCTCATAACTTGGTAAATTAAAGTTTGTTAACTTCATATTCACAAATCAAAAAGCAATTAATATTTTTAAATAAATGATAAAAATTCGAAACCTTTTTCAAAAATGAATCGTATAAAAACATGTGGCAAGAGCAAAAGTGTAACACGATGCTAATATACGATTACGTGGTGAGGTATAAGAACATGTAAGCAGTGCTAATGTACGATCACGTGGTGAGGTATAAAAACACTCAGCCAGATTTTGGAGAGATATCTTGGTTGAATGGCAATTAAATCTCGGGGGGGGGGGGATCTATAACAAAGAAATACTGTAAAAGAATTAATATGCACATTTGTCATCTTCACAGACATTGGTGCATAGGGTCAACACTTCTTCTCCTTCAATGGCCAGACAGCCCAGGATGGGCCCTTGCCTTCCTCAGAATCGAATTCCAAGATCTTCTATCCTCCAATATCGTCAGCAAATGCAAAAATCTGAACAGACTTGTTAAAGTTAGTTCCACAAGTATTAATGTTGGAGTCATTTATGATTTTTTGGAGGGCAAGGTTAAAAAGCAAGCAGGCCAGTGCATTTCTTTGTCTGAGCCCATTTGGAACAATAGGCTCTGAGAGATTATTCTGAATTTTAACCCTAAGTTTTGTCTCAGTAAGAGTAATGGTGACCAAATTTATAAGTTTTTCAGGTATTGCAAATTCTCTCATAGCTAGGGGTCAACACTAGCACATCTATAACATGGCATAAGACATGCACTAGCATGACAGCGACATGATGTAGGCTAATACCAGCATAAGGTAAATGCATTGATGACACTAACAAGCTGTGTGCATAAGCAGTAGAGAAGAATTTGATTAAACGTTTATTTTTTAGGGTTCTCACATAGGACCAACATCAGCATAAAATCGTTTTTCAACTGCTTTGTCGATCCTGTACTAGCAGAGAAGCTGTCGTTTCTATGCAGCATTGATCCTATGCTGTGATCCATTCTTAAGCTGTTCTCACGGTCCTTTGTGTATCATCAACATTATTGATGGGATGTCCTTTAACCCTTTGAAGGGCACCGGTTGTTTGTCATTTTTTAACCTTGAAAAAAATGAAAATTTATCTACAACAAAAGCTGTAATTGTAAGTTTCTAGTGTTTCTTTTCAATTCTAAATGGCAGTACCACTCTATGAATACTCAATATTTTGCAGTTATGAAATTAATATACCTCGTTCCAAGGTATCATATTTGAAGATTTATAAATTTTTTGGAGGGAAAGAAAAAATACAAAATCTGTAAATATATGACATACACTTGCTGAACCTTTTATATTTACTGCATTTCAATCAAAACTGATAATTAAAAGATTATGTATACGTTTTTAATACTGGTATTAAGAACCAAGCATGTTTCGTTTGTCTCTATTTAGTTAAAATTTTAATTTCAGCACTTCACCCTTTCCCAAGAGAAAGAGTCATCGATTTCAAAATTGCCCTCTGGGATCAAAATTTTACGCAATTGTAGGGGTTAAATGTGGCATGTTAGCCCCCAAAAGACACCCGTTGCTTCATGTTTTCCAAAATCCTAGAATCCAATGAAAATGAAAGGAGATGATTGACAACTGATTTGTCATTCCCAAGTCATGCCTTCTTTCCCTTTGTGTGGTGTGATAAGATCACACAAAGAAAAAGCTGACTTAAAAATATGGGAGATGGAAGTGCACTTAAGGTCTATCTCTTAGTGTAATCACAAAAACTGCTGATTTGAAAGCATGCTTTTATTCTTATCGTCTTTGTTAATTTCAGATGAAGACTAAAGAAAGCAAGAGAAACTTAGGGTTGGGTTACAAATAGGTTGTTTTTGAAATAAATTTCACAGTTGGGGAAATGAGGGAAAATATTTCTAAGGCCCGTTTTAGATGCAAAGTAGAATTTATCCAAAAGTTGAAAAGGAGGCCAAAGGGGTTGAAAATTGAAATAAAAGCTTTGAGGTGCATAAAATAATAAAATTGTTTAACAACGATTCTTCCTGGACAAAAAGATATATTACAACCCATATTTACAAAAAATAAAAAAGAGAGCCCTTACGGTTCTCAATAATCTAAAGTGTGTGTGCGTGGGGGGGATTCTTGGTATCATAGTATGAACACATGGTTTTTTTACATATTATCTAAAGCATAAAATATGACTTCAGAAATGCAACATACTTTCTCATTTGAGTCGTGTATCATTTTAAAATTCTTTTCATTTTTCGGCTGTTATATCTCTTTATAATATTATACTAGTTCATTTGCAGCATGATACGATTTAAGCATGCTGTGTCATATTTACTAATTTTTTTATAAAATAATAATATCGAATTTAAATCAAGTACAAAAGCTTTTTACCCATATTTTACATAAGCATGTTCAGCCGGTTTGCATCATCAAAGTGCATAAAAACATAAATTTTATTTTTAAAATTTTAAATTTCTACCGAAATTTTAAAAGTTTTTGACTTTAGACATACATAACTATATAACTATATCCAAGCACCCATCTCTACAGATGCACATCAAAAGTATGCAAAATTAATTAAAAAAACAAAAATTAACAATTGGCAGCTAGCTACCTGGAAAAAAAATGTCTTAGAGGGGCGGCAGTATAAAATATATATCGGCTCTCAAAATTTAGGATTTCGCTCTAGATTTTTTTAAGTCTCAATTTTGTGTCCTTAGGGTTCATAAGTTATAGTTCATGCAAAATTTTATCACAGTTTAAATTATTTTATATACTGCCCCTCAAAGGGTTAAATGGTAACTTCAATTTTGAGGGGAAAAAAAAAAAAAACAGATAATAATAACAGAAAGACAAATCTGGAAAGTAGGATTTATTATGCACATGTTTTTTAATCAAAATTTCTTGTATAACTACTCCTTGTTAAGACTGCATTATCATTAATAAGAAGAAGTATAGAAAGGTGGCTTTCATAATCATTACGCTTGAAAATTTCTGCCAGCTTTTAATGTATCACATTTTGGGTTGGATATATATTCCATATGGGGCTGTGAGCTGTTTTCCCATCATTAGCTGTGATAATAAAGAATGAATTGTCTTTTTTGATATTTTCATTTAATCATTCTCAAAATCCTGTCCATTTTTTTCATATAGACACACATCTTTTTCTTTTTTTTTTTATTTGGAGGGGGCAGGGAGTTGGTTCATTTTAATTCCATCTAAGAAGAAGATTCTCTTTAACTCTCTAACTTTAAGGTTCTGTTAACTAAAATATATAATAACTGCAATTTTACCCATGTTGCATTGATTTTTTTTTTTTTTCATCTAAATTTTGAACTACTAATGCTTTACTAATGTTTCGGCATCAAATGTTTACTGACTAGGAAAGTTTTTTTTTTATTCTTTATTTATTGCAGAATACGCTTCTTCTGAAATGGATTAAAGAGTTTAAGGACAGTATTCTATTTCTTAGCAGAGAAAATAATCGCATCATTTCTGCTTTGTTGGTAAGTATATTTATTTTTCATTGAAACTTTATTTTATTAAACACTTGAGTATTTATATGAACCATTTAAGTGAAAAATTTTCTGGTGTATATGCTAAAAGTGTGGAATAAAATGCATACTTTTTTTGGGGGGGTAGGGGGAATAATAGAAATCATTATAATTAACTGTAATTATTATACAAAAATTAATTTTTGCCAACAGAACCAGAAACTACTTATTTAGGTGATTTGTTTTAGCAAAACCGCAATTTGTATGAATGCAACTGTTCTCAGTTAATGCAAAAATTATAGTAACAAACAGCAGTGCGATTATGCTTCTTAGCATTTTTGGCATAACACAAGAGGAGTGCGACAGCACCTCACGGTACTCAAATGATTAAATACTTGAGTAAATAATATTTGAAATTTAAATTATTCTTGTAGTTTGTTAAAATATATACTATGGTAAATCAAATGTAAGAAGGTTATTATGTAAATTAATTCTTAAATTTTAAAGAAACAAATTGCCACTGAATAATAATATAATTTTAATTTTCAGATGTATTTTAGCTGTTAATTTTTCCACTTTCTCACAATAGTAAATTTATTTTTAACTGTTGTAATTTTTTCATTGTGTTTCATTGTCTCTAGTTTTTTATTCTTCATGTATTACTCTCTCCATGTCAAAATGATTATGCTGTTAGCATAATTGGTTATGTTGAAATGATTGTTCCATTAAAAAAAATGTTTTATCCTACTGTGTCACTAATTTCAAGGTGTAATTGTTATTTATTCCTTTGGATAAAACTATATTAAGTATTTATTAAAGTTTCATATACCTATATTACATATTATTTAATTTGTAAAATCATTTATTGCTTTATGGGCTGCATTGAAGGATTCTGTGGCACGAGTAATTAGTTCTGTGAGTGCATATTGAGATTTTTGGCACTGCTTTTCCATGTGTAGCAATTTATAATTATTTCTCTCTCCAACCTGCATAGTATATTCCATGTCCAGCTGCAAAGAAAAAAAAAAAAAGAAAGAAAAAATCATTTAATGGTTTAATCCTAAACACACTGATTGAAGTATAAACAGTTTATTAAAGAATCCTAAATCCATGCAGGATTTGGTCAATACATGCAAGATGTTAAATTCAGGCTGTTGGGAGGTAGATGAACACAACTGAAAGTTCTGTCCTCCTTCATTTCTGTCAAAGCAGCATTTAGCTTGTTGCCTTATTTTAAAAACAGATTGGCCAACACAGCAATATTTTTTATGATAGCCAGTTATAATATCAAGTTAAGATTTTTCATTTTTAACATTTATCAATGTCTTCTACAGACTTTCTCTCTTCAGACTTTAAATTACATTTCTTCACCATAACTCTGTAAAATAAATAAATAATTAAAAAGAATGAAAATAATTTAACATATTCAATACTACTCTTCTGTGTCTATATCCTCAGTCTAATACAAATTTATAAATTGGCTAATCATTTCGATATGGAAAGAGCATTTATTTTGTGATATGTGTAACAGAGAAAATAGTAAAAATATTTTTTTGTTTGGTGCTTCTGTTATTGTTATTATTGTTTGGCCCACTAATGAATAACATATTTATATTTTTAATTATTAATTTGTCTTTCTGCTTCTGATAATTCTTACATTTTTATGAATTATTTTTTTCTCTCAGAATTTAAGTTGGTACCTCAAAGATGACTCTTTCATTGTATTATATGAAGAGTTCATTCAGAATTTAGTGACCGCACATGCTTCGTATGTTGGAGAAGTTTTATTCATGATTGTTAAGATATTTTATACAGGTATGTGCAAAGTATTTTATAGAAAGGTATTTTATAGAAACTATTATAGACAGGTGATATATATGTATATATATATTGATATATTATGATATTAATAGGCATAGGTGATATATTATAATATTAATAGACAGGTGTATTTTTTGTGAAATCTGCTTTTATCTATTCATTTTAAAAATTTGTTTTAATATTTCTTTACAGTTTCTGATGTTAATAATGAAGACATCACTGAAAGTGAAATGAAAATGTATCAAAATTCTCACAAACTTTTAAAGCTTGTGATTAAGCTTGTACCACTGTAAGTTTCCCATTAAATTAAAAAAAAAAAAAAAAAAAAAAAAGAAGAATAAAATAAAATAACTATTTCACTGTTTTGAAATATTGTTTTTGAAAATATATTTTTTAAAAATATAACTCAAATTTAAACTGCCTAAACTTACAAGTATATAATATTAAATAATAGTTGTTTTGAATTGTAATTGATGCTAGTTTCAAGTAACTTATGTTTTACAAGTTTGAAGTGAACTTTTTAGGTTTACACTTTAGAGATAGTCATCATTTAATAGTCATCACAGTTACATAGTTTTGTTCTTATCCCTGGACTAGCCTTGTCAAAAGACTTCTAGAAATTGGTGTATTAATGATACATTATTACATCACTGTGTTTGTAATTCATAATCATGGTAAAGACAAATAATTATGTTCTCTACAGATAAATTTTAATGTTTTTTATGAGAGAATTGTTAAAAAAATTTCTAATATTTTATAAAATTTTTAATGTAATTAAGATATGAACATTTGCTCATAATTATGAATTCTTAAGAGCTGTAATCTTTTTCATTTTCGCTTTTTACCAAGAGAGTTTGTTATTTAGAATTATTTTATTATAAAGAATTTAACATGTTCACTTTTAAAGACACTCATGTTCTGGATTCTCTTAAATGCCTTCACGTGAATTAACTTCTCACAACTTTATCATCAGAATGATGCACAATAAAATTAATATTAAAAAAAAGTTCAATAGTTCTGTAACTCTCATTCTAGTTCGCTAGTTACTATTCTTAGACAGTTCTTGTTAGGAAGCTCTGCTCAGATGGTAACAGAAGTGAATTCTGAAGAAAAAATAATTGCCATACTTATACCATACTCCCAAACTATATCTGTATATATTTTTTATTTAAGGTTAATAAGGTGTATTCTGTATTGTTTTCTGAATGATCAAATAAAAATTTGCTTGTTTTAAATTTTGAAAATTTGTACCTGCAATATAAGCATCAGTAAAGTATATTTCTGTACAAGCAATTCTTAAAACCATGTTTATTTGCTTTTGTAATGATTTTATGTATTTTCAGGTCAATACATGCATTATGTCCTTTGCTTACTAAAAAGTTTCCATATGTGAAAACTTCCACTCATATTTTGCATTGCTATATTGTGAATCTTTTGAATATATGTACATATTTACCCTCTAAGAGACCTGAGATCTTGAAATGTATATTTGAACATTTAATTAATGTTGATGTAAGTAATTTTGGTATTATTACTTTCCATGTTTTTATATTTATTCTTTTTTAAACTGTCTGTTTATATAATTCAAACTTAAAAATATAATTTTTTTAATTAGCGCATGATTCTGTTCAAATGTATAATTTTATATTTCTGCAAACTCTTAATTTTTAATATGAATTGATTTTTTGTGTTTGTTGTTTTCTGCTGTATTATTATTACGCGGGGATTTTACATATGTGATAAATTTGTATTTTAGGTAAATTGTTCAAGAGAAAATATAGAATTATATGAATTTGAAAGAGAACAGGAAAATATTGCATTTATTGTAAGTTTTTTTTTTAACTCTACAGTTAATATTATCATAAATACTGTTGTGCTGGATATTACTCCTCATAAAATGATCTTAACATTTTAGTTTTCTAACTTATTTTAATTTCTAGCATGAAAATTCCGTTTGGAGTTACATTTATAAAAATATTTCTACTATGTTTTCATGCTATGCAGCAATGTAAAACATCCTGTTAATTGTTTTTAATTTGATCTTTAGTGTTCCCAAATTAATTTTACTGAAATTAAATTTGATATGTTTAACTTTATCAGTTCAATTGGAAACAGTTACACAATATTTTGGAGTTCATGTAGAGGGTTTATAGCTAATATAGTAGATCTTTTGAATAAACAGTTATTGTAATTATCCCATCCCAAGACATTAGAACCTCAGGTAACATTAGATCTTTGTGTGTCAGATGTTGCATGTGCTATGTAATAATTTAGTGTGGAGTAAAGCAGTTCAATTTGCTTAATCATCACTGTGGGATTGAGTTTTATTAAAGTAGATGATATATGCAGTATTTACTCTTCAAATGTTTACTATTAGTAAAATGTAGTTATTTACTATTTCTTGACCATGAATATTCAGTAATTATTTTCTTCAGATTCATTACACTTTGAGAATTGATGCCAGTATAATGGTCAAAGAAATCTCTTAAGGATTAAAGAGAAATTTTAAAACTTTAAAATGTCAAAAAATGGTATCCATCAAGCGAATGAATTTTCTGAGAAGTTACATCATTTTATTCATAATATTCATAATCAATTTAATTCATAATCTTCTATAATGTGTGGTTACCTAAAATTTAAATACATAACGATTCAGAATTCGCATGTGCATCAAACTTTCAAAAATAATTGAAATTCCAAAAAAGAAATTAAAGGCAAGTTTATGAGGTATTTCTTCCTCTTTTCTGTGTGCCTTCATGCTGTAATGGTAGCACATTCGGCATATATTTGAGAGGTCCAGGTTCGAGTCCCTGCATTACTCATTTATCATGTTTCCAGCTTCATATTGTCTCTACAATGGTGCCTGAACTAAAAGGTGGTGGATGATGATTCTTTACCACCAGAATTTGGTGATTAGGTCCCCTAATCACCAGCTGCCTTTTAAAGGGGGAGTATATATGATATTTTTAGGCTTCCCTATATCAGCTTCAATCAAGCCCTTCTATTCAAGGGCCTCTCTGGCATAATAGGGTTCCTGATGTATACTAAACACCTACAGATAAGGTGAATTTGAAACCATAAGAAACAAGCATTGAGATGCCCTGTGATTTTTTTTTTTTTTTTCTTTGTAAAAGAAACTATGCAGGGATCTCCCCCTCTCGTAGCTGTGTTTTGGAATATAATTTGGAAATAGATATCGAATCCTTATACACCACCTGTCCACTTGTCTTAAGAAAGTACCTTTGTCCTCCTTATTGAATTTTTTTTTTTTTTTTTTTTTTTAAGACTCCCCATCGCACCCTTGTTTGGTCAAGAGTTTGCGTTTGGTAGTTTGGGAAAGATTGAATTAGCTCTTCATCCATTTGGGAAGTTTTAACGATTTAACCGAAAGGATGGGATCTTTTGCTGATACTGTATATTTGGTGTCAGTTTGGGATCTTATCTACTTATTTATTATTTACCTTTCATGGGAATTACCATTTAAAATCTTTGTCTTAAATGATCAAATAGTGGAAGAGCAATGGGCAACATTACCTAAGCTCTTTTACTTCTGTTTATAAGAAGGGAGCGCCACTATTGTTATATTATATATGGTATTTTCTTCTTCCTGTCTCCATGACTTCATGGTGTATATTCAAGAGGTTCAGGTTTGAGTCCCAGTGAGGGCATTGCTCACTTTTCATGTTTCCAGTTTTAAAATAACCTAATATCTCTACAAGTTATTTCAGTGGATCACATCCTTATGCCCTTGCAAGTAATATATCACTTGGAATATTAGCTGCAGTTTATTATATTAGCTTTAAAGACTGTTTTGGTGCAAGATGGAAATGAATTATGTTTGAGCATTACTTTGATGTGCATTCTTATAGAAAAGCTACTGAAGCAGTTTAAAAACTTTCCAAATATTTGAATAATTAATTGTGTGAGCTATAGTAGTAGTGCAGTAACTACTTGTGAAACCCAATAAGGTAATTTTTTCCTCAGTAACCTGATTTTGAGAAACTAGAAGTATTCAGCATCAGAAATGAAATGGCTGCCCATCTCTTTTGAGTTGAGTCAAAGTGGAAGAAGTTGAAAATAAAATGTAATTTCCAACAAAGACCATGACAAAAATGTCAATGCCATCAAATTCTTACTTTGTGAATAATGCTCAGTAAAAGTATGTTCAGCTTGGGAAAAAGAATATATCAGTTTCACAGCAAAATATGGTCAGCACAAACTGCAACTGAAATTTCAAGTGCATTATTACCTATAACTGTATAAGGATGTTGTCCTTTGAAACATTTCCTTTTTATTTATTAAAAGACTGAAACACTATGCATAAAAAAAAATCATTACTAAGTATTTCAGTTTTATTAATTCAAAAGAAATCTTTATTTTAGAAAGAGTTCTGTTAATAATTTTTATCCAGAAAGAAGCAGAAGTTATAATTTAAAAACTGTTTTAATAAAATTTTTCGTAGTTTTGTATTGTGTGAAATAATTCTGTTCACTAAAAAGTTAGTGGTTAAAAGAAACAATGATAAAAATATTATTAATAGTCATGAAATCTTAACAGCCTGTATGGTAATGTATAGTTGTGTTAATTGTTAATGGTTAACTTCTTTTTTGATCCTTTGTAAATATTGCTCAGTTCTATTATGTATGTTTATCGTATTCTCAAGCAAATACAATTAAACTTATTATGGCCTGACCATCTCTGAAAGTAATCACTATTTCTTAAGCTATAAACAAACATAAGTGTTGAGTGTTACCGTTTAAAGAAGCTAACTCTACTTAAAATTGTTTAGAACTGTGGATGATTGATGTGGAAATGTTTCGCTGTAATTTAAATGAGTAGTAATTAAAAATTCTCTGTGCAAATTTCTTCTCGGATTGCTAAATATATTTTGATATTTATTTTCAGGAGCAGGGAACTATGCAAGAGTCGGATGTTCAGAAAGACACTTCTATGGCTTTTCCTTTGGCTCGTACTTTAGACTTAGCTATGAATTCTATGCTCACATTTATTCATAAAACTTGTTATCCTGAAGGTATGCTGTTTTTCAGTGGATTGTTTTAATTTGTATATTTTTTTACATGTAAATTTTTTCAAGGCTTGTTCTAATGTATTTAACTCCTTGGGTACAGATTTATTTGAGAAAATATTTGCATGTAGAACGGATATAATTTTTGGTTGTGATTCATCAATAGCTACTTCACTATCAGGAGTATAAAGGTAACAAAATTTATTATTTAGGTAATCCACTATAGTTCTAATCTTTCTTATTCTGTCATCTTTATTTTCCTTTTCATTATCCGTAAAATGTAGAAAGCTTGAAATATAAAAAAAACCTATCGCATGCCATAGTGCTGGCAAAAATTGGAGTACTTATTGCATATCTTTTTGACCAATACATATGCATTTTTGGCTTCTTCATTTGCGACATCAAGATGCATAATGCAATATAAGCTTTCATTTCATCAGAACTTACAGGAAACCACCTTTGGTTTTATATATATATGTGTGTGTGTGTGTGTGTTGTGTGTTACATAACCTTCTTTTTCTATCACTTGTCTGGCATATCTATTCATCTCTTCTGTCTGGCATATCTATTCATATACATATATATATAGTGTCCCAAAAATCTTTCATTCAAGACTTCTTTCAAAACATCTAAAGGCGTAGAATTACCATCCTAGTCTATGCAGGCTCAAAGGATTAATTCCAGATATTTCAGGAGAAAAATTTTTATATCGGCTACATTTCCTTCTTCTTCTTAAATCCATTCCTCTGATACTGGTTCACGAGAAGATTCACTATCACTGCTTGATAGACAGTCTTGTGCGTCTTTCAAAACCTTGGTTTTATATGAATAAATTGTCAATTCAATTGTCAATTACAATTGTCATCATTTCTGGTTCACGAGAAGATTCACTATCACTGCTCGATAGACGTCTTGTGTGTCTTCGAAACCTTGGTTTTATATTACAATTGTCATCATTTTCTGGTTCACGAGAAGATTCACTATCACTGCTAAATAGACGTCTTGTGCGTCTTCGAAACCTTGATATTATATTACAATTGTCATCATTTTCTAGTTCAATATCGTCTTCATCACCTTAGCTTTGTATTTCATTGTAATTGTCAATTTCAGGATCACTAAACAAGTCTTCTTTAGATTTCTCAAAGTCACTTTCGCTATCACTATCATAAAATATATTCCTTGTTTTGATATAATGGGGCAGTATATCGCAAATAATGTCCACCGAAATACTGTAATTGCCTCTTCTATTATGACTGATACAAGCTACAATGAAATGAACAGAATTGTGCCTAACCTCAAATAACGTAGACACGTCATCCACTCCTAGGGAAAACAAGGTGAATGACGTCTCTCAGATGTCAAATGTACCCAAGAGTTTAATTTTTGGTTTGATGTCTTAGACACGTCATCCGGCTCCTAGGGAGGAAAAGTGAATGACGTGTCTCAGATGTCAAATGTACCCAAGGGGTTAAGTTGTATAAATTGATGGTTCCTATTTAACTATTCAAGGCACTAGTATTATATTTGCAAATTACAAATTTTAATGTCTTTTGTTTAAAAAAAATCCATTTTATATACAAATAGTTCCTAATGTAAGAAGTAATGATATTTTTCAATTAATAGTGCACAGTCATACTTGCTTCTCAGTGTATCAAATTTGACATTTTAGGTTGCATTCTGCGAGTGTCTTCTTTTAAAAAATTATAAATAAAGAATTTAATTAGATTATGATATTTGGTAGTTTCCTAATAACAGAATCATGAATAAATTCTTCTGAAATAATTAAGTATTGTTTATAGTGAAAGATAGGTAATTGGAAAACCACAAATTGAAAAAAATTTATTATTACTGGAATGTTGAAATAGGCAGTGCGTTGAAAGATCATGTTGCAGAAAGAAAGGTTTATAGTGTGAATGCTGGTTCAGAAGGTATGCACATTTCTTTTCTGACAGCTATTTAATTTACCTATTTCTGATGCCAAGATCTCACATTGATAGAACTCTGTCCACAGCAACTAAGAATAAGTTACTGTGTACTGAATATTTTAACTTGTCTTTGTCTTTAATAAAATAGCCATTGTTTTCATAAAACTCAATCCATTGTTTGGTTGCATTCCAATCTCTTATTAGGTTTCTTGCTAACATTTGTGTTTGGGGCCAGGTGGTGTCTTGTTTTATATATAATAAAATCATAGTTATTAAATTTGTATTATTAATTAGTTATATTTGTTAAACTGTAAAAAAAAAAAATTAGGATTTTTTCATGAATAATGTATAAATGATATGTTGTTCATTCTTTCATTTTCATGAAACATGTTAAGCTGTGTAAATATTTTTCAGAAGTTTTGTTAAAAGAATTCTTCTTGAAGAATAGATGACTTTAAAGAGTTTGAATTATACTGTATACTTTCTTGAATTTTTGTGATATTTCTAATTAATAAACTAACTTTCATATTCTTTTTAACATTGCCAGAAAATTTATTTGATTTAACAATATAGTTGATAAATAGTTATCTCTAATATAAAAAAAATACAAATTCATCTTATTTATTCCCTTAACTAAATATGCTTCACAATTTTAATATCTTTTGTATGCTAAAGGTAAATGCATTATTTGATTGTCTCCATTACCCAGCATTTGCTTTATTGAAATGTCTCATAAAGCAGTGTCCTCAAACTCAAATTGCATGCAGGTTAAATGCATGATCTGAAAGCAACTAATAGGTTATATTTTTTTTATAATTTTTTAAGAGGGTTCTTTTAATTAAATTTAAAATTTTATGTACTAAATATTTCTCAAAATGTACATAAATAGCTGCAATAACGATAAGTAAAAAATTTAAATGTATGCATATTTTCTGTCTGAAAATTGAAAGTTGGCATTTGCAAGAAATTTCTAATAGTTACATTTTGTAGTTCAAATATATATTGACAGCTAAATATTAAATTTTCATACTGATGTTTATTTTAAATAAATTAGTAACTAAGAATGAAAATAAGCAAGTAACAAAACCTTTCCAAGTGGAGGAAAACTTGAGAATAAATGACAGCCTTTTCTTTTAATTTTTTCCCCTAATGTATACAGAAAAAATACTCAGTTGTATGTAAATAATTATAAACTTCTTTATTGCTTGCTCAAACTTTCATCTATAACACCCGAGCTTTCAATTTTGGTAAAGTTTAATAAATTTTTCTTTGGAGAAAAACTATCTTCATCCCAAGTAGTAGTATCTGTAGTATATCATTAGTAAATCTGGCTGTTTTTTTAGACTAATTTCCTTTTCCAACTGCAGAAAATGTTCACAAACACGACCAGACAGAGTGATTATTCTTATTGCAAAAATTCGTAAACAAGGGTATTTATCGTTTGACAAGCATGGAAAAATATTAAATCTGTATCTTCAGTTCTTTAATTAAGATTTATACCAAAATGTGAAGTTCATTTGAATGCTTCATTTGGGGATTTTCTGGGGTATTATGTTCTTTTCAATGGTAATAAAGTAATGCAAAATTGGACCCATTAAAATATTAAATTTTTTATAAATTTTTTCTCATAATGATAATTAATTTGTGGAAAGTGTATCTGGGAGCCACATGCAGCTTGCAACCTGCCAGTTTAAGACCACTAGTATAAAGTGTTGTGCTCAAAAGATGCTTCATCAGTGGTTTTCATTTTCCACATATAATTACTTTTTATATCTAAATATATGTTTTATTTGTTAGCTGATTGCCCATTTTTACTTCCTTGTACGAAGTAAAAAGGAAGTAATGTAATTGCGAAAAGCTTCAGGCAGCATATTTCAACGAAAATATCCACTTTGACCGCTTTTGAATGCAATTTAACGATGTTTTTGTGTGATATCTGTACGTAAGGGCAGAATAAAAGACTCTTTTCCTCCAAAAAAAACTAAAAAACTGCTTTAAAATGAATTATGAAGATAATTTTTCGTGGCATCTGTACGAACGTACGTACGTACCTATGTATCTTGCACAACTGAAAAACGAGTAGCCTCAGAATGTTGAAATTTTGTATGTAAGACTATTATAACATTTAGATGTTCACTTTGGTTTCAATCGGCCGCGCCAAACGTATATAAAATATATTTATAAATATATCCACTCTGTTACCCGGCTCAGTGATCTCAGTTTCTTTACTCTTATATGTTTGTAAATTGTACATTTTTTGCTTTAAAAATGATTGAATTATGTTGTTTTTATCTTCCGGTTAAGGGTTTTATGCCTTTAGTAAATCGGTATGCAATATTTTTAGAATTATCAACAATTTTAAAATTGTTTAAGTACCGCTAAGCCTAATTTGATGGCGGCCATTGCTCTTGTTTACATTTGAAACAGCTGAGTAGCGGATTTGTTGCCAATCTAGAGAAACTTAGCTTCGCAAGAACAAAGATAATGTCTTCATTTATTATTTAAATCATGCTTAATCCTTTCTGGAATTTTTTCGAGGAAATAAGCATTTAAGATTTACTTCGTAATTTTTAATACAGACATTTTGAGTTTTTATGTATTTTTGCCTTGTCGCAAAAGGGAAAACTGAATTATTTGAATGAGAAATGCTCAGTCTTCTGTAAAAAACTGTTTCTTTTTTGTTTTGTTTGCTTAAATTCTTTTATACATAGTTCTAGCTTTATTATATTATTTGAATAGAACATGTGGCAACGATTAGGTAATTCTTTAAATGATATAAATTTTGTGCATTCTGAGTTATAACATGAACGAAATATAATACTGTTAAGTAAACCTAGCTCCAGGGTGTCGCTATGGTAAACAAAGTGAACTTTAAAGGATGCATTTATTCTATTGTGGTTTTTGCGCTGTCGGTGAAGTAGGTTTAATTAAATGCAATAAGTTTATATGAAATGCAAGAAAAACTGCATATAATTTAATATTTCCGTACAAGGAAGTCATGTGGTGTATGCATCAGATTTTTTTATATTAGAACAAAAATCTTTGAAGTATTATGCTACAGTTGAGTTACATTACATTGTCTTATGTTATAATCATTTTCCATCTATAAGGCTGCACAACAGTTGCCACTGCAAGAAATACTGAGTGAATGTCTCCCATAGACTTGAGAATTTGACAGTTGCTGGTGAGTAGTAGCTGTTGGTGTTTAAACTTGTGACCTACCTTTGCCAGCAGCTGTGAATTTTTTTTTTTTCTGGGGGGAGGGGGCTAAGCATGTAAGTCATATGGAAGAGGCCTTTCCTCTTTACCTTATCCCAGGGTTGATGCATTTGCCGGATGGGAAAAGAGATGGCAGGCAGTTTAAGGATGTTTAAACAGTTTATGTCTGCATTTAATTTTAATAATTTACCTCATAGCACAGACAGAAACTATATAGCCTATAGGTTACTGATGGCCTTCAAGAGCCATCTTTAATTTCATCTTATTTTAATAATCTGTCTAACTGCAGTATTACACTGGTGGCCTTCAAGAACTATCTTTAATTTTATCTTATTTTAATAATCTGTTTAACTGCAATTTTAAATATTTCAATCAGTTTTTATGAACTTTTACAGTAGTATTATATTTATTAAAAAAAGGCTTGTAATGCAGTATATTATGGAACCTACCTCATATGTAAAAATTTAATTTTTTCATGTTACTTCAGACTTTCTTAATGCAAGAAACTTCTAGAATTGTAATTTTCGTCTATGACATTCTTAAATCGATAACTTTCTATTTTCTGTTGAACCCATAAATGTATAATTTTTTAGGGGTATCAATCCTCAGAAAAATAAATTTAAAAATGCTCTGAAAATATATCGCTTAGCAGTTTTAGTGAAGGAACTGTACTCATAAAAGTCTTTTAACTTCATATTATTTAAGGTAATAAAATTTTTTAAATATTATTTAATTATTTTAGATGCTTAATTTTTCAATCCACATGGTATTAAAAAAATCATGAATTTGGATATTAACATATGCAACCATAAAGTTTTCTGCCAACCAGTTTTACGACCACTGCTTTTTTTTTATTTCATCATACCTTCTGTAATTATATTTTCTTAAAAATATATATTTATATATCTAATTATAATCTTATCTTTTATATATTTTCAATCTAATATATAATTATATCTTTATATATCTATTAAAGTGTTGAATTAACCTTAAAATTTAATGTGTTGAATACAGACAATAATTTGTCTGCAATTATTAATAATGATAAGTAGCATTCTTCCCCGAAAGGAACAAAATCTACAAATACTAATACATATTATCTAAAACTTCAGGTGATGGGAATAAGTTGGAGCTAATATTGAAATTTTTTACAGCAGTGATTTATGAAACTCTACCAGTTTGTATAATTTATTGTAGCTGTATTTTAAAAATGCTTACAAATGCCTCATCATATTGTTATACAGTACAAAGTCTGTAATCCGAAATGATCTATAATAGTGCATTTATGCATGTGCGTTTAATGTATAACAGACAGTATAAGCTCGGCTAAAATTATCTAAGGCATTTCAGTTAATGTTGCAGATTGCGCTGTTCGTTAATCTTCTAATTGTACCTGGCTTATTATTTTTTGCAGACTGTTAGAATTTTATAAAAAATTAAGCTTGAACTTTCGATTATGTCAAAAAGAGTTTCCAATTCTGGAGCTGCCAAAAAATCTACAGAGCGAAAGCATGTTTCGATGTCCATTAAACAAAAAGTGGAATTGCTGCAAAAAATGGATAAAGGCCTGTCCGTCTCAAAATTATGTGAGAAGTATGGCATTGTGAAGTCCACTATATATGACAGAAAAAAAAGGAACTTTTTGAATTTTTTTTTGAAAACATCGTAAACAACTTACATTGAAAGAAATGTTTTAAATATTAAGCTTTTTTTTTTGTGAGTTTTGATACCCTTTAGATCATATTTGTTCTTTATTTCATAAATTACTATTTCATATTTGTAGTTTTAGTTGTATAATTTCTGCATGCCATCTTACCAAATTTAAATTGATAATCTATAATCTGGAATCGCCGAAGTCCCGATGAGTCCGGATTACGGACTTTGTACTGTATATTGTAATCATTCTTGTACTATAATATATGGCTACAGGAAATTTAGTCTTATATCCGTAACTTTAAAGTGCTTTTGTTGATTAATTAGATATACAGCAGTGTAAAATTATAACAGCGTGCCTTTTTATCAAAAAAATAATAAATAATGTATAATGAAATAAATCTATCTTTATAGGTGAAGAATTAGACTGGGATGCTACTAAAAAACTTTATAAAGAACTTTTGGCAGTTTTTGAAAAAATTATTCTTCCAACTCATGGAAGTTGTCATTTGCAGTATGTCATGTTTTACATTTGCAGTTTTAAGCAAGACCTCTGTGATGGTTTCTTGGATTATTTATGGAAGAAGGTTCAAAATCCTAGCATAGGTCCAGTGCATAGGCAGATATGTGCGTTTTATATTGGCTCTTTGCTAGCTAGAGCTAAATATATAAATATCAGGTGAGTTTTTAATTTGTTTATTAAATAAAACTGATTGCTAGTAGTGATCTTTTGGGCTACAAATTAGATGGCAATAATTATTAGTATTGACAAATTCATGTTTAAAGGCAGGTACATATATCATTTCGCTAATTAAACACAGAAATCCTCCTCTTGTTTTTGGTATTTTAAAGGGAAAATATATGGTGCAATGTGTCTTTGTTCTTTGGTTGCCTTATCAAAATATTCAGAATCATTATCTATACTTTTTTTTCTTTCAAAACACTGTAGGCTTTCATATTTTTTTTATATTAGCAATACTGATGCTTTTTTCAGAACTAATGTAACATGATATGCATATATTCTGTTCAGTAACCTTTATAATTTTTGGCAGTTAGAATTCTTTGGAGTGGTGTCATCATACAGATCTTATTTTAGTCTCTTGAATGATAAGTATGTGAAAAAGGAAATAATAAAATCAATAAATGAATTTCCAAATTTTGACATATTTATTTAGTTATTTTGAAGTAATTTTTAAAAGTTACATACCTCTTTATAATTATTCCGTTATGCTTATACTTTACAATATTGCTATTTTCACATTTGTTAATTTTTCAGTAAATAGTTGCATATTTCCTAGTGCATGATTTTTATTATTGCAAAAGGCATATCGTATTAATGTTGTTATGAATGCAAATGAAATGATAAACTGTTTAATGTTATTTCCAAATTAGATAAGAAATAAATTCTAGTAGCACCTCATATTACACTCATAAATTATTTTGCATTAAATTATTACTTTACATTCATATTTAATATTTTATTAAGTATTCATATAAATGTGAATAGCAATACTGTATTCATATTTAATATTTGTGTTCATAAATTATTACTGTATTTTACAACATTAAAAATGTAGTGTTGCCCAGTAAATTTTGTTGCATTTAAAAATGTCATATAAAATAACTTCATATTAATTATTTTTTAATGTAAAGGTTAAATATCGTTTAAGTGAAATGGGTTTCTCTTTGTTTCAGCACTGTTACTGCCTGTTTTGATTTAATGTGTAATTGGCTCCATCGGTATATTGATGTTCATACAACACAAGATCTAGTTGTCCATGGAACTTTTCATAGCATTTGCCAGACTGTATTTTATGTATTTGCATTTCGAAGTAAAGAGTTACTAGAGTTAAAAAATGGTGCGTAGTAATTTTGTGTATCTTTATAATACATGAATTGTAATAAGATGTTCTGCTGAATAGCATGTTTAATAAAATCTTTGTAAAACTTTTTTAAAGCATCCTACACCTACTGCCCTCTCCCTCCAAAAAAGTAAATTATTATACATCCATGTATAAAATTTAACCAGATGTTGAAACCTTCCGAATCTAAAATATGAATTAAAATGCTATATATATAGTATTCTTTCAGTCATAGTGCCAGTTTTATTAACATAATATTAAATTGTCTTGAAACCATGCATAAACAAAACAATACTGAAATAAATTTCTTACTAAGATCTTTTTTAACTTTGTGTGTATTTTTCATAATTGCTGAAAATTTATCATGTAATGTGTATGATTTTTGTATATCTGAATTATATATATTTGTGTTGATATTGACTAAAACTTAATTATATATGTCAGTTGATTTTTATTCTGTTTTCTAAATTTAGATATGCATATTTAGTCAATGTATTCTAACTCTTCTTTTTTTTTTTTTTTTTTTTTTTTTTTTTTTTAGGTCATAAATATATGCAGAGTCTTAATTTTGATCGAATAGTTACTTCTCGTCTGAACCCATTACGTTTCTGTGATAGCACTATTGTACAGAACTTTGCTAATGTTTCCAGAAATTATCAGATAGCTTATGTTTATCCTGTTATTGAAAGAAACAATCGTAATTTATTATATTCGTGTTTTGAACCAAGTGTAAGTTACACTGCTGGAGCTATGATACAGACTTTTTTCCCATTCGATCCATACTTATTGAAAAGGTAATTATTTTATGTAAAATATTTGACATGTTTTAAAACGATTGATTATGTAGTTCATTTATGGAGACAAAAAAGTGATAAAATCATTAATCTTTTTTTACATAATTTTTCTTATTTCCTCATAATTAGGTGTGTTCAATAGGTGGTTGTCTCATGCAGAGTGTATTTGGTGATTAAATAAGTACTTGAATCTCAGATTTAGTTGGTATTTTTTTAAATTATAAAATATAATTTAAAGAAGGAACAGAGAACAGGAAAATTTTTAGGGTGGGGCTTAATCCAAGCTTGTGGTCATTTAATGATGATATATTTTTGTCAAATGTGTTTGAGAAAACAATTTCTAGATCGTCTTTTGTTATTAGAAACAAAAGTATTTTTTGGGCTTTTGAAAGGTCTCTAATGATACTTTAGTGAAAGTAGAATTGTTTTCTGTTACTGCAACATGTCCACAGCATTAAGCTTTTCAGTAAAGGTTTAGGTCTTGCTGTTATCAAAATTCCCTTTTGCAAAATCATGACTAAGCCCCAAAAGCAACATAAAATTGTGTATTCCTACGAAGGTCTTGTATATAGAAATAATTTTCATATCAGAAACAAATTTTTTAGAATATTTCATTAACAGATAATATCTAATAATATAAGTTTTTGTATTATATTTAGCAGGTAGATTTTTTTGTTTGAAAGTATAACATAGTAGTTCACTTTAAAAAAAAAAGTGTATAAAATTGATGCAAAAAATTTGAAAATTGGACATAGTTCAAATATATTATTATTTTATTCACAGTGTTAAGAATAACTTTTTACTCCCATTTTTATGTGTGATATTTTACTTTTCTAGATCTAAGCATTGGATTGAACCTCTGTATAGAATTTATAATCACAGCCATAAAGATGAAGATGCTATGGTAAGAAAGCAAAATTTTTCTTTAATCCATTACCTTATGTAAAATGCATGCTTCTGTGCTAAGCTTACAAATTTATGCATTGTGCATAGAATATATTCAGTCATTGTTCCCCCTCCCCTTGTTGAAAATAGCTTGACTTTTCCTGGGCTGGGTGGAGAGATGTATTTTTAGAAATTGAATGGAATTAATTTTACGTTAGCTTTTCAGTGGAGTATACGAGGGCCATCCAGGAAGTAGATTACGTTTCCGTCTGTGTCCGCTAGGGGCGGGGCTAGCGCGGCCATCTTGGGGTCAGAGCGTTGCGCAGCTCAGTCTGCATCTAGCCGTGCTAGTGAGAGGTTCGTGCTGTGCTCCGTTCAGATACTGTGACGGTTTGAAATGTCTGCGTTAATTGAAAATCCCGCGAGCTGCGCTCAGTAATAAGGTTTCTGACTGCAAAAAACTGTAAACCGATAGAAATCTATCGGCAGCTTCGTGAAGTGTATGGGGACAACATTATCACTGAAGGTGGAGTGCGTCAGTGGGTCATAAGATTTCAAAAATGGCCGAACCAATGTTCACGACGAAGATCGAAGTGGGAGACCCAGCATAGTGACCGCCGAACTTCTCGAAAAAGTCGATGCTAAAGTCCGTGAAAATCGAAATTTCACAATAATGGAACTTTCTTTGAGTTTTCCACAAATTTCGCGAAGTTTGTTGCACGAAATCATCAGCGAAAAGCTTGGTTACCACAAGTTTTGTGCAAGATGGATTCCAAAAATCTTGACAGAGGACCACAAAAATCAGCGAATGGCTGCAGCGTTGAACTTTTTGGACGCTTACCATAAGGATGGTGACTCTTTACTCGATCGCATCGTTACTGGTGACGAAACATGGGTGAAACATGTGAACTGTGAAACGAAATTGCAATCAATGCAGTGGGGGCACACAAGTTCTCCCCAAAAACCCAAGAAATGCATGCAAACAATGTCGGCAAGGAAGATGATGGCGACTGTTTTTTGTGACAGAAAAGGTGTAATTTTGGTGGACTTCCTGGAAAGAGGCACTACAATAAACTCTCAAAGGTATTGCCAAACTCTCCAAAAACTCAGAAGAGCAATTCAAAACAAGCGCAGAGGAATGTTGAGCTCTAAGATCTTGTTGATTCACGACAACGCCCGGCCCCACACGGCAAATGTCACTCGTAAAGTTCTTGAATCTTTTAAGTGGGAGTTGTTTCCTCATCCGCCGTACAGTCCCGACCTGGCACCGAGCGACTTCCACCTATTCCCAGCAATGAAGAAGTGGCTGGCTATGCAGCGTTTTGATGACGACGCACAGCTGCAAGAAGAGGTAACGAAGTGGTTGAAGGCGCAGGCGGCCGAATTTTTCGACGAAGGAATTTCCAAGCTCGTACATCGCTACGATAAATGCCTTAATTTGTATGGTGACTATGTAGAAAAGTAGTATTTGAGTGTGGCTTTCATCTGTATATAATAAAATTTGTTTCCTATACTTTGTTTATTTTTTTATTCCAAAACGTAATCTACTTTCTGGATAGCCCTCGTATATTTAACAATGAAAAGTTTTAAAATGTATTTTGAGGCTTAACCCTTTGACGTGCGCAATATTATTTTTATAATTTTTTAACTAAAAACTCTAGAAATTGAATATTATGATCCTAGAGACAAATAATATACGAATTAAAAAAATCTACTCTTGCCCATTGTTTTGTGAGTTGTGGTCGCACTGTGAAACCACTGCACGTCTAGGACTTTGAAACTTACCTTTTTCCATGCGCGTTTCCAATAAATGACGAAATTATCGAATTTAAAACAAAAAAACACAAAAAAAATGCATGTAAGAACTGCATAATATATATATTTTTTACATTATTTTACAAAATCGTCAGAAAAATTTAAAAATAAACATTTATGTAATTTTTCTATAGCAGTAAAAGTATAAGTACCTACATAATAAGGACGTTTGGCTACATGGATTAAAAAACTCAGTAAAATAAAGATAATTTTTTTTTTTTTTTTTTTTTTTTTTTTTTTTTAAATTTCAAAGAACAAATATTTTTTGTCACACTGTTCAAAGCATGTTTTGTTTGGTACATGCATAGACCCACATTGCACGTTTCGCACATGTATCTTCTATGATGTTTCTTCCTTGTGCTACAAAATGTACACTGATTGGATCTAAATTTCACTGGTATATGTCCAGCGTTATTTAGTTTCTTTTCATCTGGCACATGAAATTTGTGTTTTTTTTTATGTTAATGGGGTGGGGACTTGGTCTTTTTGGCTTTGGTACGGATCATTCATTTCCCATTCATACTTATTTTATTTGTATTTTGTCTCAAAATATTCAGAAAATATTTTTAATTTAAATAAAAGTTTACGCGATTTCTATTTTTAATTACAGCAAAGTATATTTACATTACATTTAAACCATAAGAAATAATTTATAAAATCGCAATACTAGCTTGGGGAACAAGTGTGTTGAGAGGTCAGACAAAAGTCTCTGGAAAAGAAAGATCTTTTTACTGGGCAGGTGCATTTATTGTTTAGTTAATAAAATAACTCTGTGATTTCAAACTCTGTTACCCGGCTCAGTGATCTCAGTTGTTTTACTCTTATATGTTTGTAAATTGTGCATTTTTTTGCTTTAAAAATGATTGAATTATGTTTTTATCTTCCGGTTAAAGTTTTTATGCCTTTAAGAAATCTGCAAGCAATATTTGTAGAATTATCAACAATTTAAAAACTGCTTAAGTGCAGTTAAGCCTAATTTTTAAATAACATGTTTGTTTACATTTGAAACAGCAAAATAGTAGATTTGTTGCCAATGTAGAGACACTAAGCTTTGCAACAACAAGATGAAGCCTTCTTTTATTATTGCAAATTAAATCATGCTTAATTCATTCTGGAATTTATTCGAGGGAATAAGTGTTTCAGATTTACTTTGTAATTTTTAATATAGATATTTTGAGTTTTTATGTATTTTTACCTTGTCGAAAAATGAGAAATACTGAATCGTCTGAAAAACTGCTTCTTTTTAGTTTTGTTTGCTTAATTTCTTTTATACATTGTTTTAGATTTATTATAGTATTTGAAGAGAACATGTGGCAACGATTAGATAATTCTTCAAATGATATAAATTTATATGCATTCTAAGTTATAATATGGGCAAAATGTAATGTTGTTAAGTGATCCTCAGCGCCAGAGTGTCGCTATGGTAAACTAATATAGTGAATTTTAAAAAGTGCATATATTCTATTGTGGTTTATGTGCTATCGATGATGTAGATTTAATTAAATCCTATAAGTTTAAATGAAATTCAAGAAAAAATGCGTATAATTTAATATTCCGTGCATGTAGTGTACGCGTCAGATTTTTTTTTAAAGGCATGAGGAAAAGAGGGCTGTTGTTAACTTAATATCTAGTTTTTTGGTTTTTCCCCCTCATACAAATTAGATCAGAGCTCATTCGGCGATAAACTAGCATTGTTGCCGCTGATTGGCCGATGTTGTGCGGTGAACATCACGATGAAACAGGCTTCTAGACTGCCCTAGAGAATCCTTCATTTTGGGAACAAAGGAATTCGCTTTATCCTTTTTGGACAAGATTGCCAGAATACGAATGATAATATGATCATAATTTAGGTGAGACTGATAAAGTATGATTTGGTGTGAGCATTCTTTTTCTTATCTGACCATACATTTTCCGTCGCCAAATTAAACTGCTGTCCTAACACAGGGTTTGTACGGTCATTAAGAGTCCTTAAATTTTTTTGGGATCGATTTTTGGTCCTTAAAAGTCCTTAATTTTGGCCAAAATCAGTAGAAGGTCCTAATTTTAATCATCTGAAACTTCTGTCTGTTTTTACGACTGCCATTTTGAGTGTGAATTAGCATTTTGGAGGAATATTTTTGGCGATTCACTGACGTATATGGTTATCTTTTGAATGGGTTATAATTTGTTTCTATTTTTAATATAAATGACAGGATACTTGAGTTTCTAAGCAAGAAGTGAAACATAAGCATTTCGAAATTCATTTATTGTAATAAAGAGCTCTTAAACAATTTTCGTTTTTTGGGAATGTGAATTCTTTTATTAAACGGTTCTAAATTTGGCAACTTGTCAACATTTTGGAGATTTTAAGACCAGTTTCTATAGAAACTTTTTAATTCTGAAATCAGAATTTTTTGACGATTTTTTTTAAAAAGCATCATAACTTTGATAAATAACATTAAAATAAAACATTTTTATTTTCCCCTGTCATAATATAAAGTTTCATTTTTTCAACTTATGCAACTTACAATATTTTGAATCTGAAAAATAAACAAGGTATAATGCTATAAAGCATAATTTACGAAACAGCTCTCAGTAAAAGCAAAATTAGCTATGTAATTAATTAAAAATGTGTTCTTTTTAATTTTTTCATAGTAAGCATTTTCCCCATGTAATTGTCTCGGATTATTCAAAATTCTCAGAATATGCATCAGTTTTCTGTATAAAATTAATTTTACACTTTTTCCTTCCTTTTTTTTTTTTTTTTTTCCCCCCCAATATATTTCTGGCTTTTTGCTGTTACAGAATTGGTTGGGATAATTTTTCTTTAGTATCTTTGACATTGCAACTTGGAAAATTTAGAAGGATTTGAAAGCAAGATTTATAGACCCACGATTCTAGAAGATTTGATAAATATGTGACAAAGTGAAAAATGTCTCCATGGTATCAACACGTAATGGATGTATTTTACAGAATGTTTGCGATGAATTTCTTACTTTTTGGAGAACGTCTGGAAGAACAATGAAGACATGAATAATATTTGAGAGTTTTATTCCTGATACTAGAATCTTTTTCTTAACATGTTTATCTTCCCTTTATTTTCTCTACTTTTCACTAGAGACAAGCATGGAAAATATCAAAAATGCTTCTAATCGTATCACTTGGGCAGGCATTATAGAAAGGGATTTTTTTATTAATAAAAAAATTGAAAACTTAACAATTTAAAAGATCCATCTAATATGTTTTAATGCATCATACACATTTTCCCATTTGATGCAATATCTGTGGATCCTAAATTCGGCTGCATAGTGCCTTTCTAAATTCTGCTTCCAATGCCTGTCTAAATTCTAAAAGTTTTGCCATTTCTAGATTTTGTTGTTTGGTGTGTTACCAAATTCTAAAAATTCTGCCACATCAGCTCTGTAACCGGCCTTTACCATATATATATTTCATATTTCTTCTGAAATCCATATTACGAAAGAAATTAAATTATTCACTTTTTCTATACATTCTAAATGCATTTAGTGATTTTAGAAAAACAGAAATCCTTAATTAAATCCAAAAATTCTAAAATGAAAAAGAAACATGCTGAAGAAAGAAACTGAACACATAAAGAAAATTATTCGACAAAGATATGTGCAGTTATTATTATGTAAATTACACAATTGTTTATGATTTCAGCCTTTACTATAATTTTCCATTTCTGTTTCCTCATATGATAGAGTTAGAGCCAGATTAAAATTAAATTGTATAATTTTTGAGTCCACCTTTTTAGTTTGAATTTGACTGTTCTTGTTTAATTACGTCACCGTGAGATATAATTGACTTTGTTAGCATCAGAACATACTTTTATGTTTGTTCTAAGTTCTTTTCAAATAAGAGGCTTATTTAAACCTTTGTCCGATATTGTAGTTACTTTCAGACATAGTGAGATAATTTGCTTCACATGTCTATCGGGGGTTTTGGACTATTTAACTTTTACCAGATCAAGTAAACCCTCATAGGTACATGTGGAGAGGTTTAGACAAATTAGGAGATAAAGTACACGCAGAAACTAGCGAGAGCATTGGTTTGCATATTGAGACAAATATCTAATTATTGTTAGAAAATATGCGTAAAGAGAAGGAAATCGGTATAAACTAGCCAAAACGTTTGGGAAGGCTTCAAATTAAAATGACTGATAAATATTTTGTGAGTGTTGTTGTTACAAAACATAAATGTTTTGTAGCTTTTAATGTGTAAGTATTCTAATACTGTTTAAGAATCAGTGTCATAAATAACATGTATTTTCAACTGGGATATTTTATTAGATTTTGAATTTAATAGGGCTTTCTTAACAAATATTGTTAAAAAATAAAATTTAATAGTCACCATGTAAATCCATGACTAAGGTTACCTATTTACATAATTTAATTATTTATAACTTAAGTGCTTACCCTTAAAAATTATCTCTACATATTAAAGCGAGTTATTGCCTATCATTAATACTCACTGTGGTCACAAGATAAAACACAAAAATGTAGAAATTCAAGTAAAGCTTATTCTTTGCATCTAGTGAGAGTTAATACAAAACAGCTTATCACCTCTGGTGCTTTAATGGCTTATTGGAACCTGAAAGTATATTAACTGGGTTACAATCCCTGGAACTCTATACGAAGCTATGACACTAACTGCATCAGAGCCTGACTAACTTTTAACACTTGCCAACCGTGCCTACATGATGCCTTTCAGGTTTGTTCTAATCAGCAGGTCTCTTTCTAGACAAGCAGCAGCAGTGATAACATAAGTCTTTTATTATGAATAATGCTGATTATGATACTTCTCATTTTAACATATGCCATTTGACATAAAATGTACCTGCTATTTACTAAACCTCTAGACAAGCGGCTCTCAACCTTTTGACTAATGTGTACCATCTGAATAAAAATTGAAAACCTTTAGTACCACCAAAGTACTACTACCACCACCACTCGTGAACAAAGCTCAGATCGCATCAATTTACGAGTGTTAGAGAAAAAACTCAATCAGGATGTTGCTGTTTTAATTTTTGAAATAAATAATTAAAAATACTTTGCGTCTCTGTGTACCACCTATTTTTTCTTGCGTACCACCGGTTGAGAACCTCCGCTTTAGACTGACCAAGTATGTGACAAAATAAGACATAAAAAAATCAACATAAAGCTAACTATTAGTAAAACGTAAATGTCACTTATCTTCTTTTAAATATGTCCAATTATTATAAGTGTAAAATATTTGATGCTACTTGATAATAAACTGCATGAAGTTTATTTTATTCTCAAACTTATTAATAATTATGTTAGTTAATTCACGTTTAGTAATAATGCATATACTTAGGGATCCATTTTATTTTTAGGATGGTATTACTAAAGTGAAATTCAGGAATAGAATAATATTTTTAATTGAATTTATTCAGTTCCCATTTGCTCATAGGTCCTTAAAAGTACTTAATTTCCGTGTACAGAAATGTGTACGAACCCTGGTGAATGTTTATAGCATGTGGCAAGTTAAAAATCCAAATTCTGTTTGCTTACATTATGCTCTTCTTCCTCCCCCACAACAGCTAACACCAAAGTTAGGGAGAATGTTATTAAACAGTCAGGATCTAAAATTGTGTTCAGTAATGGATACAGTACACCATCTAGTGCTCAATGAAATATGGTTCAGCTTAAAATGTGCATACATATCAATCATCCTTTAAGGTTATTTTCCAGTGATACATAGGTAGAACACCCAGCTGTGAGAGATGTTCGCAGGTAAGGTATATATGGGACTCCCATCCTTAAAGGGTTAAGGCCATGCTTTCTTTACTGCATTAGTTTTCTATGTTTTTGTTCTATTACTTTGTGTAACTTGCTTTCTGTTTGTTTTTGAAGATGTATATAAATGTAACTCTATTGCTTTAACCCTGCATTATTCAAAATTTCATTATCTTCAAAGAATAGGTGCTGGATATGGAAATTACTAGTTTTTGAATTGAAAATAAAATTGTTGTTTCTCCATTTTGTAGGACTATGAAGATGTTGAAGTTCCTTCAAATGATGATTTATTTTCATATGGTACATCTCCAGGTTTCAAGAAATCTAATTTTTTAAAACACGATAAAGGATGATGTAACATAGTATTTAGATTTAATTTATTGTTAAAATAAAGAAATTGAAAGATATGGACCTGTTTAATATTTTATTTTTGATTCTTACTATATATCATTATCTGAAAGCCATATTCTCATGTAACATTATCTTGTTTGTATTGATCCACCAAGAAAATTGTGCTATTAGAATAGTGGCTTGTTTAAACATTGAGTGAATCTTAAATATGATAGAGATAATTTTAAATTCATGTCATTAGTCTTATTCAGTTCAAAACTAGAATGGTTATAAGAGGTGGTGAAAGTTCTTAGTAATTAATTAGCTATTGCAAATTCAAAAAACCATGATCTTACTAAGTAGTTTTTTATCATAAATAGTTTTAACTACTAATACAAAATTGCTTTCAAAACAATTTCTTTGTGTGAGGATACACTTTTGCTAGTGCGTTACAGTTTCTGGTAGTATTGCTGTAATCGTACATTTTTCAAACATTTTTAGGTCATAATTTTTTCAAAGGGGTGGGGAACAAATTCATGCAGTTTTTGAATTTATACATACATATATAATATGATGGAATTGTATTTAATTAGTTAATCTTATTGAAAATAGGTTTAACTTTTTTTATTTATTTGTAATAAAAATTGCAAATGCACATTATAAATACAATAATAATTTGACTTGTAATAAATGGACATCAACTAGCTGTGGTAGAGATGAAAAGCTTAATGAAGATGAGATGAAAAGAAGCAGCTTCTGTTATATGCCTGTTTTCTCATCTCTCATGAGAGTGGTCCTTAGTGTGACAAGCAATGAAGGTTCTATTTTCATGGCTGCCATTTCTTTTGGTTGTACATTACATCTTCCAGTGAATCACTAAATCTCTTGGTGTTTGTGTCAGAAATAAATTAAATTTATTAAATTATTAAAACTTAATTGTGTGAATTTCATTCCCTTGCCTCAAGTGATTTTCATTTTTTATGTGTTTAATTACTAAATATTTGTGTTTAATTTCATTTTAACATCAATATATGGTATATTACTAAATTTATCCTTACAGTAGTATGTACATTAATAATGATTCCCCCTTTTCGATCATATTTAAAAGTACTTTTATGAATAAGAGCTTTCCTTCTCCCTATGTGGGATTTTTTTCATTATACGAGTGTAAGAAAATTATAAAATGCAATTAGCCAAAGAACATAAAATTTAGAATATCAAATTAAATATTAATATATTTTATGCCAGAATTATATAAACCATTGAATAACCATGATTAACTCCTTAAAGCACAAGTTTTTATGGAAAAACTGGTAAAACAATGATCGAGTTTTTTTTTTTTTTTTTTTTTTTTTGACAGAAAATGAGTATGTAGGTATAGTGCAAGTTATTTTCTTCGGGTTTTACTAATTATCATTTGATTTGTACTAATTTGATGCCAATTTCTTGCTACAGCTAAAATCTCGTCATCGTTATCTTCAGATTCACTTCCATCACTCTCAAGAGATCATAACTTTCATCGTTGAAACTTTCTGATAAATTGGCATTTCAAAATCCTCAGACTCTCTCATTATCAGATAACTTTTTCTAAACAAGTTACAAAATACTTAGTAAAAATTTATTTATATGGTTAACTGTTTACTTTTATGATAATTAACATAGTAAAAATAGACATATTACCTTTTCTTTACACCAAACAACTGCTTTATAACAAAGAATTCCTAACAAACTTATAACTAATCATCAAAATGCACCATGTGTGCATAGTGGTGACCTCTATGGTAAATAAGTTTAATTATAATCTAGCCGATCTATTTTTACTAGAACAGATCTCAAACTGGCATTAGGAAGAAAGTAAGACGATATACAAGACCGTCCGGGTGAGACATGGGCATGTGTAAATTTCCTGTTAACTTTCGCCCATGTCATACGTGGGCAAATGTGTTAAGGGGGTAAAAGGAATTTTAGTCAATTTGGAATTCTTTTTAAGTGTGCTGCCACTTAACTGGAAAAGTCCAGGGTTTTTATATTTCATCATTGGCAGTTATGTATAGTATAATGCTGGAAATTGGCAGAAGTACGAAATATGATGGTATTTGGTGTGTTCAGGTTATTAAATAAATTACATTATCATAAAATTACTGCTACTGCTAGCTTGAGACCTAAAACTCCTTACTATCTTTGTGATAATAACACCTTCTTGGATGGCTAAAATGCCTACAAGCTAGCATTAAATTATTGTCTACTTTGTAAAACCTGCAGTAAACTACAAAACAAATCCAGAAAGTAATATTCATTAGATAATAAAAAAGAACAAGAGAAGTTGAATGTAACTTTTTTTTTTTTTAAATTTTAAATCTGTGTAAATTATTTCTGTTCAATATTTGGTTAGGTAATTTTAATTGCTGTATTGCCCTGAATATTAAGACAGCTTCACATGTAATATAATTTCATTTTTGAAGCTCTTTTAGAAATAAATAAAAGGACATGTACATATGTATGAACTACTGTACATAAATTAACTTCATATATTGAAACTGTTCTGCAATAATTAAATAGTATATCTGAAGTTAAAACTGTAGAGTATATTTTCTTTGAGTGTAAAAAATTAAGATGTAATGAACTTAATACATGAATTAACTGACTGTTTTCTAAATATTAGGCTGTCTATGGAAGACAGGTATGTTTTTAGAAGAGCAATGTGAAGGGCATTAGATTTATTATTCATTCCAGCCAATCGCTGAAAATATCTGATGTTGCATAATTAAAACAGAATTTTGGGGCTGTCAAATTTTATGTTACCATTAGCTTTATATGCAGGATACATCAGAACTTTGAAAAATCAGATGATTAGAGGGGAATACAGTTGCATTAAGAGCATTGTCTAAGCCAGGGAAGGGAAAACGTTTTCGGTCGTGGGGCAAAAATAGAAAAAAAAGTGTGGCGGGCTAAGATAAATTTTTCTAAAATGTTAAAAACAATATACAAATATTACAATTTAAATATGCTAATGAGATGAAGGAAATTGCAGTTTCATTTTTAAAAGTTCCTTATGAGGGGGCTCACCAGCAGCCGAGCAGTAAAGTCGCTGAACACTGGTAGTTCGGTCCGAGGTTCGAATCCCGTGAACGGGCTGGCTGCATGGGTGTTTTCGTGGTTTTCCCCATGTGTAACGTGTATACGAGCCAGATTTCCTTAGAAAGTCCTTTTACAGAGGCATCCCTCCTCTTAGGCAGATAGCCCTAGTGTGCTTTGCCGTAATTAAATACACACCTTATATTGAGGTTCGAAGTGAGATGTACTGATTCTAAGGAACGAGGCTAAATGCTCGTCTGTCAGCCTTATGAAATAATTCTTCCTGAGGTTCATAGTTGAAAACACTTGTTCACATATATAAGATGAAGCAAACATAGTACTGATTTTCTGGCCTTGAGATATTAAATTTGGGAAACTTACTTTTGATAATGATTTATAAAATTTTAACTTTGGTATATTTAGAAAAAACTGGAGATGATTGTTAGATTGCAACTCAATTAATTCAAGCTGTAAATCTGACCTCACTGCTTCACAATTTTACGTTGAAAGGCATGGTAAAAATATTCAATTTTGGTTTAATGGCACTGACACTTTGAAATCTGTGTTCGAACTCAAAATGCAGTTTTTTTCAAGCCATCTTCATAATTCTTATGTTTCTCTTCATTTACTTCATTTACTCAAATGACACAAGTCATTCTTAGCTAGCTGCCTAGCAAACAAATTAAGTTTTAGTTTAAAAGCTTTGAGATAAGCCCAGATATTGTCGATAAATTAATTTTTCCCTTCCATCTTGACATTCAAGTTGCTCGTATGACAAAGAAGATCTGTTAAAAATTGAAGTTTAAAAACCATTCTGTGTCTTCTAACATTTCCCACTCCACAGAACACTTTTTCTCATCGAAGAACGACACACAATGTTGTCTTTCAACTGTTAAAATTGCTAGAAAACTCATCCTGCACTAAGCCACTTTACTTTCGTATAATACAGTACATCTGAGTATTCAGATTGCATGGATTGAAGAAAATCTCGAAATCGCCTGTGATTAAGCCCACGAGATCGAATAGTATTTACAAGCTTCATGACTTCATCAAGTACGGGGTTCATATTCAATGCAGATTTACACAGAACATCTTGATAACACAATGTAGAAAAATAACATTGTTCCTCGGATAGTTTTGATTAAAGAGTCTAAGAAATCCAGATTTTTTCCATGTCATATTTGGCGCTCTACCGGTCGTAATATTACATATATATGTTTATAGGCACTTTCAAAGTTAAAAGCCCTTCCTGAAATTCACGGCAAATATCACATCCCATTGTAGTTCCCTTTAAAGAACACATTCACGCCAGTTCCTCTGTAATTTTAAAGTTCTTATCAATATTTCTTTTAAATAATACTAATTGATCAGTATCATTTATATCAGTGCTTTCGTTCATAACTATGGAGCAAAATTTAAACTGGCCAATCTTTGACTCTAATCGTGATGCCAAATTTTTAGAAGATGGAAGTCACCATTTTTTAAGATAAGCTTATAGTCTCAAAATTATTTTTCTTGTCTCGTCATAAAACATTACAAACTTGGAGCATGCATTATTTAACGAGCTCCCCATCACTGACATACAATCAGACATACGATGATCTAGAATTAGTTTAAAAAGTATTATTTATTTTACATATTTTTGTAATTGTTTTTAAAAAAGGTACAATATTTAAATAATTAAAAGTTTAATATATATTATAGATAAGTAGATATATTTATTAATAATACAATATTATAATATAATTAATTACTGTGTATACATTTTTCTTGCCTTGGATGAAGTAAATTTATCAATTACTTCATCAAAGTCGATCCTTTCAAATTTTTCTATTTCTACACTTTTAAAAATACTAGATGACTTAAGGGATCTTGTCCCATCGTTGATTGTAAATATGTCAAAATTTATTTTAATTTGCTGAACGAATGTTCATTTGATAATGAAATAGTAAGGAGTATTTGAAGTGTGATGCTTAGGTTTGGAAAAACAAAACTATTTTATCC